GCGAACGCTGCTTAATCTCTCTGACTCTGCCTTTTCATGATTGAACTGGAATAACAACTTCCTGCTGCAAATGATGAGAAACTGGAAAGGGGTGTACGTGTGTGTGTGTGTGTGTGTGTGTGTGTGTGTGTGTGTGTGTGTGTTGCTCATCACACCTGGCACATCAGGAGGGGCTGGCATTATTAACTCTCCGTGGCTCCCATATTTGCACAGTTGTGTCCCAAGGCTCTAAATCGCATCCAGCATCTTCCCTTCCTATATTCTAATGCATCATCCTCACAAGGTACTGACTCACATCATTCCCAGCAGATATAAAGGTCTTTCTGCCATTGGTGAAAACGCTGTGCTCCACACCGAGATGCCACCGAGATGTTAGCTTTTCCAAGCTGTTGACTTCTTTCTTGGCTTGTTTGTGCAGGTGTTGGTGGAAATACCCAAGCTAGGAGAATAGCACAGCCAATTCTGGGGTCTTCTCTCCAGACAGCCTGAGCCCTGGGCACCAGAGCAGTTTTTCATCACACACACAAGACCAGAAGAGAAATATTGAAGAACTAGAAATGGCTGGAACTCAGAGCTTACTGTCCAGGTGGAGGCCTCAGCCATGTGCTCTCCCATTAAAGGTAACTGTACTTGTGGTTCATTCTCTAGATTTTGAAGGAAAGAGAACAGTCTGTGGAGCCCATCAACCCTCGCCTCAAAGTCCCTTTTTGCTCTCTGTTTACTGTGTCAGGTGGAGGGAGGTTATTTAGTTCCTCTGGCCCTCAGCTTTCTCATTTTCAAAAAGGAAATACATACCTGCACTGCATGGTTGTTGAGAAGAATATAAAGGGGAAAGGCAAAGCCTCCAGCACAGTGCCTGGGCCACAGGCTCAGTGTTTCAGCATCCAGTGTCCTCAGTCACAGATGCTTCCGTGTGGTCTGAAGCTGTTAACTGAGTGTGCTGGTTCAGGGGTCTCCTGGGAGGTACAGGCCAAGATCAGCTACCACCTTTGCCCTGCCCAGGTCCATCTGGCATGAGCTACAAAATGTTCTGAAGATGTTTGCTATGTGTGCTGAGCATGGAGGAGCTTAAGAGAGCTCAGGCTGTGAACCAAGGCTGGCTACTGCTAGTGCTGGGTCTGGGGCCACTTAGTGAGAAGTATGGGACACACTGAGGCCAGATGCTGATTGTTTGAGAGATTTTAGGAAAGTTCACAGCTTGAGCCAAGATAGGCTGTTTGTATGGAAAAGCTACTGGGAAGGGCTTGGGTGGGCCCAAAATTTGGGTTAGATGGTGTCTCAGGGAATCACCAGGGCAGGGCTAACAGTGTGAGCCAGATTGTTGGAGACTCAGATATGATGCCCACCTGTCGGCTCTGTGGAGGGAGGGCTCAGCAAAGAAACACTGGTTTCTGCCAGCACTTCTGCCTGAGAGAAAGCTGCCCCTGCAGCCCTCGCCCTGGTGCCAGACAATTCAGTTCCTCCCGTATGTCCCTGTCACCTTTCCAGCATCTGCCCCAATGCTGGAGCTCAGAGCGAGGGAGTCTGAGTAAGTTTGTGTGTAGGCCCTTTAAGAAGAACACCTGGGACTCCAGCTGCCGCCGTGTCACTCAGCCACAATCCCTGCTGGTTTTCATAGCCAGAAGTTATGGGGACTTCTCTTCTTGGCATTGGAACCCTGGGCTGGGGAGCCTGGTGTGGTGGGGCTGGGACCCCTCACTCCTCAGGATGGAACTCCACAGTCAAGATATCCTCCTGATTTATATCCACTACATGTGGGGGTGGGACCAGCCTGTTCCACTCCTTCACCCCTCCTACCTGTCTAGATGTGTCTTCTTCTTTATATCCTTAGTTATAGGGCTTCTATTCAGCTAGATTTCAGGTGGTTCTCAATGATGGCTGTTCTATAGTTTAGTTGTAATTCTGATGTGGTTGTGGCAGGTTCCTAGTACTGTGTTTATCTATGCTACCATCTTGACTGTCAAAACTCCCACGGTCCCTCCCCTTGGACTGAGCGAGACGGCCCTAATCAGCTCTGATGGCCAGCCAGGCTGAGGGACCCCACCTGTGCACGAATTTGTGCACTGGTCCTCTAGTCTCATAAAAGGTTGATGATAAGCCTATGAGATAGTTACTCCTTTTATAGGTGGGGTACCTGAGGCACAGAGAGGAAAGGAACATGCCTATGGTCTCTCAGGGAGTAAATGGCAGAGCTGGGATTTGAATCTGAGAAGGAGACTCCAGAGCAGAAACCTTCACCCTGGGCCATACTTTGGAAGGCTCCTTTTGTAGGAAGTGGGGCATAGAGGGCTTCTGTTGAACTGAGCATTTTTTAGCTTATTTTATCCTGTTTAGTTTCCTATGTGTTAATTGTGTTTTCCAGCATGGTGGACTAACAAGCAGCTAACAAACCAAAGGGGGCAGATAGACAGAAAGCTAGTACTATCTGTGGCCCCATATTCCAGGCACAGTTTAGTAAAAGTCTCTTCCCCACTAGACAGCAGGTTGATATGGGCAGGTCTGTTTGATCACTGACATCTCCCTGGCTACTTGCACAGTGCTTGGCACATAAGTGTTGTTGCATGATTGGACAAATAAATAAACAATCCTACCTGTTATTGTCACAATACCAAGCAAATGCCTGGCATATGGTAGACAATTCTTAACTTCTGTCCAGGATTCATCTGCTGTTAAGTAGAAACCCAGTGCAGCTGCTCTTGCTGGGGATGAGTGGAGGTCCTCCTGAGGTGTTCTTCTGCTCAAGAAGCTGCTGTGATCTGGTATCCAGCATGCCGTCACTTGGCTGGTGTCATACATGAACCTACTGGATGACTTCAGTTCTCATAATGATATTTGCATCTTGAGTAGAGACAGGAGGGGACTTACACTTGTTGAGTCCCTGCTATGTGCTGGGCATCATCTGCTATCCCAGTTAGAAGAGGAGCTCTCATTCCATTTCTGTGGACTGGGAACTAAGAACAGAGGCCAGGGACTGGTCCAGAGTCATGTAGGGAGGAGCTGATAAAGCTGGGAACAAACCACCTGTTGGCCCAACCCTGAAGCTAAAGCCCCTTTTGGTGTGCAATGCTACCAGTTCCTGAGAGGTGAGAGCTAAGAGGGGCCATCTGCTTAGGCAGGGCAACTGACCTCATGCTGTTTTTATTTTTGTTTCTTTGGGGCAGGGTGCCGGTTCTTTTCCTCCATCACTTTCAGAAACCAATGCCAGTGGAATCTACTTTGTGGAACTGGTTAAAGAAGTTGGGTGCTAACTCTGAGGTTATGCTGAGCAAAAGGAGAGGGCAGCAGGGTGGAGCTGGAGAGAAACAAGCCAAAGGTGAGAGGGATAATCCATAGTCATGATAGAACCTGGTGCTCCCAGTCCCAAGCCCAGGATGAAGTTGGGTTGGCAAGACCTCTGTTCAAGATAGATACTTTGCATTTGGTTGGTGAACTCTTTCTGCCGACCCTGGAGGAGAAAGGCGACACCTGGACAGGAATGATGTAACCCCACTGATCTAGGAATCTGTATAGATGTGTGTATGCATACATGAAGTAATTATAAGAAGAAGATAGAGTTGGGTCTTTATCTAGTGACCTGCAAGGATGTTCGGGATCAACTATTAAGTTAAAAAAAGCAAGTTGCAGAATACCATGTAGTTTTGTATCCACAAGCCAAACACAAGCATATAGGACATGCCAGGCACCAGTCAGTGGGTGAGCCAGGTACCAGCCCATCACCCTGTCCACCTATGTTGGTTATTGCTTATGAAGAGACAGTGTGGTACATCAACCAGACTCCGATTTTCCAGCACCTGCCATGGGCCGCTGCTGGGGCTGGGTATGGCTCAGCTCCCCCAAGCAGCTCCTATCTTATGAGCACCTAACCTCACTGCTCACGCATAACATGGGATTGGCAAGCAAGCAAATATATAAGATGGTGTCACATGGAGATGAATAATGGGAGACAGTGGCAGGCAGATGGGGCTCTTTAGTGGTGAGTTTCTCATTGTACTTTCAGGATGGCATTAGCATCACGTGCTATATAGAGGGATCTAAGTGAAATCCATCCTTCCTGGAGGACCAGCTGACAAGGAAGGGCTTATCCTGCAGAGTGAGGCATGGAGCTGTGCTGGGTGCCGGGAGTGCTGCCGCTCCCACTGAGGCTCCAAGCAAATGATGGCTTCAGCAGTCCTGGCTCCCTTGACTGGAAAAGGGATGAGTTAGCCTGGCCCACCACCCGATAGGTTCCTATCACAGCCAGATGTCTATAGGGTCACATTGGGAACCATAAAGTGAGTTAAAAAGGTAGATTTAAAAAGGGGGAGAGATCAACAAAAGGACTTGTATACATGCATATAAGCATAACCAATGTATACAAACACCAGGGGGTGAGGGCATGAGTGGGGGGATGGGGGGTAATGGGGGGATAAGGACACATTTGTAATCTTAATCAATAAAGGAAAAAATAAAAAATAAAATAAACATGCTACTGTTTTGCCTTCATGGGAACAAACAGTGGTCCCTGTGAAGGACAGAGTGCTGGGTGAGGCCCACCTGAGCGTCTGGGAGGTCTCTGCTGAGCCTCCTCTCTGCCCTTCCTCGTGTCCACTCCCTGAAGGAAGGGGATTTACATTGTTCTCCAAAGGCCACAGTGAAGTGAAAAGGGAACTTAGCACCTTACTTCTTCTCCTCTAGAATTCCAGTGTCTCTGGCATCAACCAGGTCTCCCTGACCTTTTTGAAATAAAAATATATATATACATCCTGGAGATAAATATTATTTTAAAAGGGATTTTAAAAACTTTAAAAAACAGTTTGCCAGGGAACTAGGAGAAAGGATGAGGTTGCCCAGAGATGGCTAACCCATCCATCCAAGGATTTCTCTGTCCTGGTCTGCGGGGCGTTCAGAGCTCCTGGCCTGCGGGGCGTTCAGAGCTCCTGGCCTGCAGGGTGTTCAGAGCGGCGCTGGTACTCAGGCTCAGCTGCGCTCCTGCAGGGTGGCTTCCTGCTTCTCGAGGCTGCATGGCTGCACATGGGCAGGGACTCCCAGAGAGTCCTTCCCTTAGCCTCAGGACCCGTGGGCATGGCATCTGTCTCCCCCCAGGTGACAGGCTCCTGCAGGTAGACAGAAAGAGTCTGAGTGGCTTCACCCACAAGCAGGCCGTGCAGTGCCTCAAGGGCTCTGGGCAGGTAAGGGCACCCTCACTCATTCCTGAGAGAGTCCCTTCCTTCCAGAGTTTCTGCACAACATTAGACACTGCAATTTCCCCTGGGTGGGAGGGACAGGTAGGAAGCAAAACAAAACTTCCTTCTTCTCTTGCTTCTTCCTTTAGCACAACTTTTCCACGTGGATGTGAAGGCCAGGAGAAAGTAGACCGATGTCCCAAGCAGAACACTTACTGTCTATAAATAGCCTTGAACAACTTACTTGCCATTTGCCTAGATTCTGGCATGTCACAGCTGGATAGAGCTGATGGAGTGTGGCCACTGCCCCGCCTGGCTCTGGCTGCCTCGCCCTCTGCTCCAGCTCCCACTGACCAGTATTCCACCTGCTCCCAGGCCCTCTCCCTAACCTGCCTTTGCACATGCTGCACCCCACCCAGTTCACACCATTCCCATCCTGCTGTGTGGTTACAAGCCACGTTGTCCTGGGAATCCTGTCATTACAATGAGGTAGGAATTCCAGACCGAGAGCTGGAGGCACTCACCCACTAGGTGCTCTGTATTCTGCGCAGTTCCCAGGTGGCATCTGGGTATTGCCACGTTGTGTTCCACCTTCTGTCCAAGGTGGCAGGCTTTGCTTGCCCCAGGGTCCTAAACTGCAGGGCTAGCATCACTCTCCTGGGAACTGGGGAGCCAGCAGAGACAGAAAGGACTCCTGGGCCCCTTCTGGCAAACGTGGCTTCCTTTCCCAAAGCCATCTCCTGGTGATGGCGATTTACTTATATTGGCAGCCTCAGTTCACATATCTTGGGAACAGAATCATGATTTATTAGGTCTCTGTTCTTTAGACCTTTGCTAATTAACGGGATTACGCAGGCACTGGGCCAGCCTAGCGGTGGTGATGACAGTGGGAACTGTCACTCAGATCTTGGGCTGAGTGCTAAATGATATTGCAGAGGAAGAGTGTTAGTCAGGCCAAGGCCCCTCAATGAAGCTTGGCATTTCTGAAAAGCATCCAGCTGATATCTAGCCACTGGCCCTCAGCCACGCTTTGGGTAATAGGAGTTAGAATGTGTGGGGAAGAGAATGGAAATCGAACCGGAAGGAAGGGGGTCAGGTTGCCATGGGCTTGGTACACCGTGCTAGGGGTGGGACTTTAGCTGATAGGAAACACTGGAGACTCATTATCAGTATGTTTTAAAATAGATTTTAGAGAGAAGCAGAGAGAGAGAGAGGGAGAAAGAGGGAGAGAGAAAGGAAAACATGGGTTTGTTGTTCCATTTATTTCTGCATTCACTGGTTGATTCTTGTATGTGCTCTGATTGGGGATCAAACCTGAAACCTTGGCGTATTAGGACAATGCTCTAGCCAGCTGAGCTATCCAGCCAGGGCTGCATTGGAGATTCTTAACCAAAGTGTTGCCTTTTCAATTTGTGTCTTTGATCAATCCCTGGGTAGCCATGAGGAGGGTGGACCACAGGAGGAGATAGGGACCAGCAAGCCAAGGAGCCGGCCACAGTCCAGCTGGGCTTGGTGGCAGAAGAGGGAATGGACAAGCTCTGAGCGGAAGCTTCTGATGGAGAACATTCAAGATGGGAATTTGGAGGGCAGAGGGGAGAGCGGGACCACTGCAAGCGTGGTCCCTGGGAGATTAGAGGGATGGCTCCACGTTCTGGGGAGCAATTGCACAGGGAGAAATGTTTTAGGCAAAGTGAGGGGGAGGAAGTGAGGGTGGGTGAGAGAATAAGATGAACATGACCTTGAATACCCTAAAATAGAGGCACACACATTGCTTTCAGGAGCATTTGTCCAATATGCAGTGGAAATATGGTTTTGGATTCTATCAAATAGGCTGGCTTGCAGATTTTGATTTGAGATTCAAATGAAGCAGCTACTGAAAGTATCAGAAAATTAAAAAGCATTTTCAGGGTGAAGGGGGAGCCTCCCGGGTGCCATCTGAAGTATAACCGAGTTTGTTCCCTACCCTAGATCGCAAGCCTGGTCTTAGGGAGAAGAAGCCCAGGACTTCACAGCAGTGTCCTTCTGTTAATAGCAGGACGGGAGTTGAATGCACGGCTGTTTCCTTGGCAACAGCCTTGCCTGGCAGGCCTGCAAGCTGTGTCTCAGTGACAGATGGTGAGAGGAGAGAGAATCGAGTGTTACTATTGTCATGTCATCCTGGGTTGCTTTCAAATTGTCGCCTGGAAAGGGGAAGCGGGAAGGCTTCCTCTGGGTTCCCCAAAGATAGTGAGCAGTGGTGGCCGTGCCGTGGCAGCTTTCTGAAGACGATCTAACAAAACCTGTTTCCGGAAGAATAATGCATCGTCCCCAAGTGGTTGCCAGGCATAATTCTGTCCCGAAACCTTCAGTTGTTTCCTGATCAGCTGCTGCTTGAGTATAACATTTGGGGGTGACAGTGAAAGGAAAGGGTCATGCATTTTCTGTCCAAAGCTCCACACTCAAGCCAAGACCTTTGCACCAGGAGCCCGAGGAACGATGAGGCAGGCCAGAGAGAAAGGAGCTCAGAAGCAGCCTTTTGTCAGCAGCCTTTAAAAAGCAGACCCACAGTCAGTGTGCGTGGGCATGGCTGCACATCTGCGGGTGGTCTGCCCCTCTGCACGTCCCTGTGATTTTGTTTCCTGCTGGGAAAAGGTTTATTTCCTGGGATATCATGATCTGGAGCTTACAATTTTCCTTTTTTAAAATATTTTTTATTGACTTCAGAGTGGAAGGGAGAGGAAGAGAGAGATAGAAACATCAATGATGGGAGAGCATCATTTATTGGCTGCCTCCTGCACACCCCACACTGGGGATCAAGCCCTCAACCCAGGCATGTGCCCTTGACCGGAATTGAACCCTGGACCCTTCAGTCCACAGGCCGATGCTCTATCCACAGAGCCAAACTGACTAGTGCCATTTTTGATCCCTTTATAAGGTTTTCTGGAAGGTATAAGACAGGTTGAATGCAGGTAGCCATAGTGAGCGACAGGCTTGGTGGAGGCATACGTGTGCCTGAAACAAGTCTGTCCTCTTTCATTGCTGTTCATAGACTCCAGTGAGGACTTGGGAAACTGACCACGCAATGAGCTGAAGGGGCCAGATGATGGCAAAGGTGAAATTTGTCTCCACACACTTGAACCTAAGAGCTTCTGGGGCTTTTATTCTTGCCCCAAGTCAGAGTTCACAGGTGCTCTGTCCCTCCTCTGACCGGCTGCCAGCTGAGCTAGAGAGAGAAATGAGGGGGTGCTGAGAGGCCCAGTGGCTGCCGGGCCACTCAGGCTCCTGGATTGTGTCCCTCTTGGGTGCCCAGAGGCAGCTGTTTTGTCTTATGATCAGCCCGCATGGTTAAACAAAACAGCAGCTAAAACATTTCCATGGAATTGTCTCCATAGTCTAATTATGCAAAATTTAGTTTCAGGGAAATTAAAAAGTGATTGAGGCTCTAAAGGAGTCCGAGAAGTGTGTGTGATACTAGTTTTAGTAAAGACCACGGGCATACCGTGTCTGTCCCTGAATAGGTCTTTACGGCCAGATTTTGTTGACCATCTGTCTGATAGGATAGCCACTCATCACATGTGGCCATTAAGTACTTGAAATGTGACCAATCCAAATTGATAACACCTACTCACAATTCCTGAGGACTTGGTTTATGAGAGGAGTGTAAAATAGCTCATTAATAATTATTTTGTGTTTATTACAAGGTGAAATGGTAATATTTTTAGATTTATTTAGATATATATCCTATATAATAAAAGCCTAGGTGGCATTGTGCAACATTGTCACAAAATGGCCACTGTGATGTCATCACAAGATGGCTGCCACAAGATGGCTCCCCTCACATCGTTACAAGATGGCCAACACAAGATGGCCGGCAGGGGAGGGCAGTTGGGGGCAACCAGGCCTGCAGGGGAGGGCAGTTGGGGGCAACCAAGCCTGCATGGGAGGGCAGTTGGGGGGGACCAGGCCTGCAGGAGAGGGCAGTTGGGGGCAACCAGGCCTGCATGGGAGGGCAGTTGGGGGCAACCAGGCCTGCAGGAGAGGGCAGTTGGGGGCAACCAGGCCTGCATGGGAGGGCAACTGGGTGCAACCAGGCTGGCAGGGGAGGGCAGTTAGGAGTGACCAGGCCAGCAGGGGAGCAGTGAGGCATCAATCAGGCCAGCAGGGGAGTGGTTAGGAGGCGATCACACGGGCAGAAATGGTTAGAGACAATCAAGCAGGCAGGCAGGTGAGCTGTTAGGAGCCAGTAGTCCCGGATAGTGAGAGGGATGTCCGACTGCTGGTTTAGGTTCAATCCCTGTGAGATTGGGCCTAAACTGGCAGTCAGACATCCCTCAAAGGGTCCCAGATTGGAGAGGGTGCAGGCCAGGCTGAGGGACAACCTCCCTGTGCATGAATTTCATGCACCGGGCCTCTAGTTCATAGATAAAACATATGATTAAGTTTACCTGTTTCATTGTTAAACATGTAGCTATTTGAAAACTTTGACATTACATATGTGGTTTGCATTTGTAGCTCACAGTATATTTCCATTGGACAATACTGATCTACAACATGTATGAGACTCTCATAAAAATTAGCAAAATGAAATCTTTTTATGTAAAACATGGAATCCATCTCCTTGACAGTTTGCCATCTGAGGCTGGTCAATTTATGTGTAATGTGCTGAAGGGCTGACCTCCCACACATCCTACCATACAGGTGTGAAGTTTGAATTCAAACTGAGGAAGACTGCTGGTGGTGTGGGATTCCGTTTTGTGCAGATGGAGAGAGAGCTGCAGCCACCTCAATAATGATCTTGTGAGGAATAAGCGGCTCTTCCCAGGGCAGCAGCTGAGGAGAGCAGCCATCACAGCTGGTGGCATTATCCTGGCTGCAAATGGAAAGCCCACGGACGGCTCCTCTTCCAGGTGGGAGGCCATGAAGGCTGCAGCCTGAGTGCCTGCTGGTGTTGGCCATGCTCTCCCAGGCCCACCCACTGTAAGGGATGCTCTCGGCTCTTGTCAATCAGCCCTGGCGCCTGCACTGTGATCACCTAAAGAGAGCAGTCTGCAGAACATTCTCACATTTAATTTTTCATCTTAGTTTTTAAATATCTGACCTTGACTCAGCCTTGCTTTAATTAGGCTCATAATAAAATGGAGGATAAACCTTGACTTTTGTGTTGTCTAAAGGTGTAACACACTCTGGGAGGTGAGTGTGAGGGCTGAAGGGACTCCAGTGGCTCCCTTTTCTACTCCCCCACTTTTCTACTAAATTTACAGCTTTTGATGCATAGTGTTGCATTGTTTATCCTGTATCATCAAAAATCCTATATAATGAAAGCCTAATATGCTAAGTGTCTGGTTGGCCATTCAACCAATCAAAGTGTAATATGCTAATGATATGTTAAGGATGCTCAACCGCTCACTATGATGTGCACGGACTACCAGGAGGCAGACAACCAGTCAACCAGTTGCTATGATGTACACTGACCACCAGGGGGAAAGATACTCTGACTGGTAGGTGAGCTTGCTGCTGGGGTCCGGCTGATTGGGACTGAGTGAGATGGGCCGGACACTCCCTGGGACCCTGCCCATGGTCCCTCCCTGGCCCTGATCATACACTGGTGGGGTCCCTCGGCCTGGTCTGGGCTCTCTCACAATCCAGTATTCCTTAGAGAATGTTGGAGAGCTGGTTTCTCAGCCCAATCCCACAGGCCAGGCAGAGGGACTCCACTGGTGCATGAATTCATGTACTGGAGCCCTAGTGTAATTTATGAAAGACAGTGAAAAGTGGATGCTTTTCAATGCTTATAGTACAAAATCTCTATGGAATACTGTACATATCAGTCAGGGTCCTGGCAGAAAATTGAGTCATTTGAGGAGAGTTTAATAAAGGTGTGAGCAAGGGAAATAATGGAGCCCTGGGGCTGGGAACCTGGGTGCAGTGATCCACTCCCCCAAGTCCAAAGGGACATGGGAAGGAGCAATTACCATACCCCAGAAGCTGAGAGAGCTGGATGGAGTGAGCTCACTGAAATGAGCTGTGACACGAACTGAGGGACGCAGTCTCCAGTGACTACCCCATGGGGAGGGAGGCAGGCCCACGCACACGCACGCACACACACACACACACACACATGCACTACCCAGCTTCCCTCTCCTCCTACCTTGCAGCCCTAACAGACATGCCCCCAGAGCACAGGGCATGCTGACAAAGCCAGAGGAGGGCCTGGGGTGGGTGAAGAGGGCCCCGGGTAGGTATGGAGGGCGGAGAGTCCCCAGGACAGTGTATGTATGGGTGGGGATGCCTATCTATCGGCTTCGGATCTCAGAAACTGGGGCAATAGCACAGGTGAGAGGTCCGAGGGCCTAGCTGACTGTTGGCTGGTGATGCTGAGAGGGAGGCCTTGGGAGGGAAGGAGGTTGAGACAGCAACAGCCACTTGCTTGAGCCACTGTGTACCTGAAGAGAAGGCATCATCATTGGTGCACTCCCTCGGGGGAACTCAGGCTCTGCCTTGCCTCCGCCCACTCTGGGAAATCAGCCCCAGTGGTCTTCTCCAGTTTTCCGAACTGAGGAGCTTATCCAGGTGGGACGGGAACGGCCCCAGGGCGGTGGTGGAGAGCTCAGAGGAGACCACGGCCATCCAGCCCCTCACCTAGCTGTTTGCTTCCTGTAGGCGGTGCTCCATTTACTGCGAGGGGCCTCTCAGAAGTCACACTCCTGCTTTGCGGACCACTCCGGGGGTCTTGCCTGAGATGGACCAGGGCTGGCAGGCAAGATGTGGTGCCCTTGCCCTCTCCATAGGCCTCACGTCAGGCACCCCGTTTCCTGGCTGGTGCGTTTGAGAAGGCCAGCTTTGCCTTGGGTAGGGTTCGACGCCACCTTCTCACTGGGGCCGGAACATAGCTGGCCCCCAAACCTCCATTGGTTGAAACAAGTTCCTGAGGTCTTATCTCTGCCATTTCCCTCCCCTCCCTGCTTCTGCCTCTCCTGACGTTTGAATCTCCCTGCACATGGTCACATGTGCAGATCTTGGCCATGAATGCGCTAGAGCCAGGCTCCCTGGCAGCCCAGCCTAATTGCGGGGAAACTGGAAACAAGAGGAGTAGATGCGAAACCAGAGTGTCCATGCTGAGGAGTGGAATGGGGAACAGAATGTGCATCCGCCCTCCTAAAGCATGACTTCCACCTGTGGTCCAGGGAAAAGAAAGGCATTGGGATCAGGGAAATTCAGAAGTTTTACCTTGATGCTGTATTAGGTTCTCTAGAGAAACAGAACCATTTAGATGTGTATGTGTGTAGGTATATATGTGTGCCAATAGCAAGTGCACATATATGCATAGAGGAAGGAGGGAGGGAGGGAGAGAGTAGGGAAGGGAGAGGGAAGGGGTGGGAAGGGGAGGAGAGAGGAGTTAGAGAAATTTGAAGGAACTGTCGGGGCTGGCTAGTCTAATTCTGCAGGACATGTGGGCAATCTGGGGGCAGTGTTCATTCTTTCTTGAAGATCTCAGCCTTTTTCTCTTAAAACCTACAACTGATTGATGAGGCCTGAGGGCAATCTGCTTTACTCACAGTCTACTGATTTAAACATTAATCTCACCTGAAAAATACCTTCACAGAAACATCTAGACTAGTGTTTGACCAAATACTGGGTACTGTGGCTTGGTCAAGTTAGCACTTAACATTAACCATCACAGTGCCGCGTGTTGGGTGCCTGGGACATAGACTCCGCAGCAGGGATGTACTGCTCCCGGGAGGATGCGGGAGGCCGGGTGGAGGAGGGGCGGGGAAGGAATGTGGTGCAGCTGCAACAGGGGCCTTGGCTGACCCCACAGAGATGCCTGCAGCTGGGAGGGCCTCTCGGAGCTGTCCTTAAGAGGGGCAAGAGAGCCCGTGCCTTTCATGAGCAGCAACCGGCTCTGGGGCATGGCTGCCCCAAGGGAGGGGCCTGCCTCTGACTTTGGCTGAGGAAGCTCCCTTGAGCGGCAGAAGGCGCTAGCTGAGCGCCATCAGCAGCTGGCACTCCTAGCAGCTGGCGGAGAGGACCTTGGTCCTGGATGGTCTGTGTGGACACCCTGGAATCTCCCGCACCTGCTCTGCACTCGATCACTGCATGGGCCTTGGGCAATTGCCTAACTTCTCTAGGGCCCATGATTCCTCATACAAAACGAGGATTAAAATGATCACTTATCATCATTGAAGGTGACAGTCACTAAAGACAGCAAGCACATGGGACTTGGTGACTCAGATCCTCTTGATGCTCAGACTCCAACAGGTTGTTTGATACTGACTTTGGTGGGAAAAGAGCTATGGAAAGGAAATAAGAAAGTTGCCAATTTAGAAAAAAGCTTAGCGGAAAGCAATTGTATTATACATCTGATGAGGGTGAGAGAGGATCAAGTTTTGCACACACAAAGGTCAGGCCGAGGGGGTTTGTACCATGGGGTTTTGTTGAGATACCTAGGAAGTGCCAGGGGAAAAGTTGTCTTTCTGTCCTTGAGAATAGTTCCCTCCAGGAGAACCCAGTAGAGCGTGGAGGGATGGCTTGGGGTAAGGTATGGTGGGGCATGCTTTCTTTCTCCTGCCTGAGGCCACGTGCAGAGGAATTTTAGTTCATTTGTGTGACTCCAGAGGTCAGATTGAAGATCAAGAAAGGGAACATTGAATTCATAGCTAGACTAAAGTAATTATGAAAAGAGGCAGCTGTAAAACATTTTGAGTAAGGTTATTCCAGGCAGAAAGAATATCAAGTGCAAAGGCTCTGGGACAGGAGTGACCTGGATGTTTGAGGGACAAAAGGCAACAGTTGGTGTCTGGACTGGAGATAATGAAGGGGAGAACGGAAGGAGACGTGTAGAGGCCGTTGGGCCAATTGTAGGTTTTGGAAATGTGCTGAGTCCACACTGTCTGCAATGGACGCCACTGGAGGGGGTGGTGCGAGGATGAGGGTTCAGCAGGAGCCTAGCCTTGTCTGGTCTGTGCTCTAGGAAGACCCCTCAGGTTGCTGGTGGGAATGGACTGCAGGAGGTAAGCCAGCAGTCATTCAGGGAAGATATTACTGTGGCTTGGACTCAGGTTGAAGCCGAATAGTTGGTAAGAAGTAGTGAGGTTTGGAAAAGGTTTGGAGGTAGAGCCCATAGGATTACTTTCCCATTAGATCTCGGTATGAGGAAAGAAAACAAAGTTTGGCTTGAGAAACTGGATGAATGGTGCACACTTTCCAAGACAGGGGTGCTCAGATGGAGCAGTTTACATGAGAAGCAGCAATAGTTGTTGAAAGCACTAAAGGGAAAGGTCTATGGAATAGCCAACTGGACATGTCTATTAGGCAGTTATTTGTGGAGAATTGGCATGAGGTCAGGGCTAGAAAAAGTGGATTTGGGAATTTTCAGCAAACAATACCACTTAAAGCCATGACATGGATGATACCACCTTCGAAAAGATATAGAAAAAGTCAAGAAAAGGGCTGACAAGTAGGCTATGGGCCACTCCATCAGTGAGAGGTCTGGTTCAAAGAAATGAGACAGCAAATGGGACTGAGAGGAGGTGGCCTGGAAGGTGGTAGGAAAGCCAGGTAAAGGATAGAGTTCAGGGTCAACTTGACATTTAACTAGAGTAAATGAGTGAGGGGCCACTTATGTTGACTATTGCTGAGCAGTAGAATGAGATGAGGACAGAGAGTTGTCCTTTAGCTTTAGAAAGAGGTAGTTCAAGAGAGATCCTGATTAGAGCAATTTCAGGTGGGGACTGAATAATGGGGACAGAAACCTGGTTAGTGGGGATGCAAGGGAGAAGGTCCAGAAATAGTGCGTACAGGTACTCACTTGAAGAGCAGAGATTCAAGGTGGCTGGAAGATGAGAAGCAATTTAGAGAACAGAGACTCACCACATTTGCAGATAATTAGTGAGCTGTATGCCCTTCATTGCTAGAAATTCCAACAGAGCAGTCAACAACTGCTCAGACACCAACTAGGCCCAGCACGCCCTCGGCATTTGGAGGGGAGGAAAAATCCAGAGAAGCATAAGATCTGGAGCCACTTTAACCACAGCGTGGGAGCTTTCGGGAAAGCCAGCCTCACCCAGTGGTACCCTGGGGGCTAGAGATGGCAGGCCTGGGGCTCTTTGCAGCTCACAGCTCTGTCCTGCCTCTCTGTGGCCTCTGGAAGCACTGCGGTAAAGAATCCCCCCCTATAGGAATTCCCCCCTATGTGCATCATCATTCCTATGTTAATACGATGCTTCACAATCAACGTTTCTTAAGAAAACAGACCTACATTTTCAATCTGTACTGAAACATTCATTTTAATAGCCCTTTTAAACTTAGTTTTATTTTTGGGCCCATCCACTCCTAGGTATTTCCAGGTTTCAGTCCTGGTCCTGGCCTGATGGATAACATACTATTGCATTCAGTTTGACAGTATTTATTACAGATACCCGAGGTCCACGGAGACCTCTTATGGGCAGAGAGACAGTACAAATACTGAGAAAGGGTGGAGTACTGTGCCTGGGCATGTGAGAGAGAGAAGCATGTGTACAGACAGACAGTAATGAGGAAGGATGGTTTTTGTTGGAACCATGCAAACCCACTGAGATTACATGGCTTGATTTTATTGATCATATTAGAAGACTGACAAGGCAGATCTGTAGGGACTGGTAGGTGACCTGAAGTATGAGGTAGCTGACGTCCTGCATTAGGCACGTGAGATTTGTGACCAACGGGAGCCAGGCATATGTTCCTTGAAAGTATTCAGACACATTTTTTAAAGAATTCTGTGCCAGACTTTGGGAACAAAAACTAATGAGTCTGAAAAGCAGAAGAAGTGGGTAAGCACATTCATCAATGGTATTCTTTTCATTGTCTGAAAATGTACAACACAAGTGTACTCTAGGCTGTAACTGGAATATTTGCCTAAATGATCGAAGAAATAATGTACAGAGATTAATCTAAGGAGAACCATTGATATGATCTTATAGGAAACATACAAGGAACTGTATTTCCCTATACGTGGGGCCTCTCTTGGGTTTTAACGGTGTTACTGCCAGCTAGTTCGGGGTGATGAGACCTTGAGAGCTGGATTAAAAAGAGACTCTGGGTTTAGGTGCAACCCTGGAGTTTGACTGGCCACGTGCCTTTCATCTAACATGGTTATCAGTTAATATTACTACTTTTTTTTCTAATTATTAGTATAGGTGGTCACTGTCCCATTCATTGACTCACAGAAGCTCGGGGTTTTCAGTATAAAAACGATCGAGTCCAACTCCTAGCCCATGCTGGAATCTGCCCTGGACGTCCCTGAAGGAGGGGACTTGCTTTAGCTTAAATATCGCCTGGGGTGCAGGATTCGCTCCTTCTTGAGGTGATCCACTTTATCATCATGTTCCCAAAGTTAGGAACATAGTGGAAATCACACCAAGCCATGTTACCCCTGCGCATCACTGTGGAAGATGCGACGTTCCCCATGGTGTCGGAGCAGGTCAGGTTTTCTCTGGTTGAGCCTCAGATGAGTGTGGTGACTTGCGCTCTGGGCTCTGCAGAATGCGATCTGCGAGTGCTGGCTTGTGGGGAGAAGGTGAAGGTGCGGGAGGTGCACTTTCCACCCACGCTCCCTTCAGGGCTGACTCTCATTGAGTTGGAAGTTGTCACTGCAGAATGTTTAGTTCTCTCTCTCTCTCTCTCTCTCTCTCTCTCTCTCTCTCTCTCTCTCTCTCCCTCCAACCCCCCCAGCACATATGTTTAAGTTCATGCAATTGAAACATGCAGCTTCAGCAACCATCACTTAGTGGAAGAGGTGATGGAAGGCTTCAGAGTCACTTAAGAATGTAAAGTGAGTGCCCTAACTGGTTTGGCTCAGTGGATAGAGTGTCGGCCTGTGGACTGAAGGGTCCCGGGTTTGATTCTAGTCAAGGGCATGTGCCTTGGTTGTGGGCACATACCCAGTGGGGGGTGTGCAGGAGGCAGCTGATCGATGTTTCTCTCTCATTGATGTTTCTGACTCTATCTCTCTCCCTTCTTCTCTGTAAAACAATCAATAAAACATATTTTTTTTAAAAAAGAATGTAAAGTGAGGCCGAGGCCTTGAAATAAACGGAGTGACGGCCTGGCCTCTGGGAGGGAGCACTCTGTCCCTGGAGTAATAAGGAGGCGAAGGGTCTAATGCTGCAGCTGGCATGCAGGTGCGTCATCAGAGCAGCTGGCTGAGCCTCGAATGAGGCTGCCAGGTGAGAGCTGTTGGTCAGACGGGAGGGCTCAGGGGACCCTGTGAGCTGAGGGGAGCTAGTGCGGCAGGTGCCTGGCTAGGGACAGGTGGTCTAACAGCGGAGCAGAGCCCTCAGTAGGCTTGGCTTGGCGCTGCCTTCAGCAGGTTCTTTCCCATACAGGCTCGCAGGGGACCGCCCCTACCACCCGCTCACCCCGATACACACTGTGACCACTCCCAAATCCCGATCTCCAGCTCATGATCATCGTTTGAGCTTCAAGCCCAGCAGTCCACTGCCTTTTCCACTTGCCGTCCTAGAGACCATGCAAATACCAGACTCGCGGGGGTTGGCCCTGAGCTCCCCGCACTAACCAGGGCTGACAGGACGTCGGTGGGGCCTGTCCCTGGAGAACTGGAGAAGGCTCAGCCTCACAGAAAGACACAGGACCTGAGCTTGGCTGTGAGTTTAACCACAGCGATTAGGGCGATTACAAAACTGTGGTATTGCAACCTAGAGATGCCGTCTGCTCATCTGAATTGTCTTCCTGGAAGGGGCCGTGACTTCAGTGAGCGAGTGTCTCAGGAGCCTGTCCAGGGAGCACACACCCTCTACAAGCAAAGGCCTCAAGCGACTGCACTGGCTCGGAGCCTGGCGGGGCGCCTCCTTGGAAGCAGCTCTGAGGAGGGGCTGCATTTGGGTTCCAGGGCCCTGCCAGCTCGTGTGGGGAGGATGGCGGGGCCCGGAGCTCACCCAGGGTCTCCCGGTCCTCCTCTAGGATGTGTCTATAAAAGGCTTCTTTAGTCAGACAGCTGGGGGGGTGGGGTGGGGAGGGCGGGAGTAACTAGGACTAGGTCATTGACTGTACCTGGAAGTCAGCAGAGAGCTCTGGGACCTTGGGCCCCTCAGGCTCCAGGTGGGAGTCCTGCTGCATTATCCCGGGCGCCCTGAGCTGGCTGCGAGCCCTGATGAAGGACTCTGCCTCTTCACCCGCTGGTCACCTGCCCAGACATCTGGCCTTGCTCTGCAGCGATACCACCGTCCTTATTCACTCCCCAAGTCTCCAGGTCTTGCCCTTCCATGAAATGGGCTGTGCCTTGGGGCTCTCACGGGCCCCTTGCTCACCGTTCCCCACACCCATAATCAAACTCCAGGCCACAGCTCCAGGGCAGCCTGGGGGTGTGAGGAAGGGCAGGAGGAAAGGCAGCCGCTCCCTGACTTGTATGGGGTGATGGCCAGCAAGCCGTCTCTGGACACTTGGGCCTCTTGCCCTTGCCTTCCAGGCTGATGCCTCCCTGGCTCTCTCTTCAGGCTGGGCTGGTAGCTGAGCCCCAAATCAAAGCAGTAGAGCAAGCGGTTTGTTAGAAAGGTGGGCGCAGAGTGGTGGCGGCAGTGGACAGTCCCTCACTGCTGTTGCTGATGGACATGCCCGCAGAGCACTGCTGCTGGGGGCCAGGGGGGGGGGGATGCTGGGCAACAGGCTGGCTTTCCCGTTCTTTAACAAACCTCCATGGTTTTCAGCACAATTTCTATACAATTAAGAAACCACATATTCTATACAATCCAGCCAAGTATCTTAAGGTTTAAAACCAATTTTCCCTTGAAGTGCTGAGTGATTTTTAAATGGTTTCCTTTTAAATGAATGTTCCTCTTTAGTCTGTTGCATAGTCGCCTTAGATACACAGGAATGAGTGTATATCTACTCGAAGTGCACATTTATACGCACCCTGCGGCTCTCACGAGCAGAAGTAAGCTCTCCTGACCGCAAAACTGAGGTTGGAGCAGACATTCGACTCTGCTGGGGAGGAAGACGGCCCCGTGGCAGTCGGGGGCTTGTAGCTGTCGGGAGGTGCCAGAGCCGATTTTAAGGGCAAGAGACCTCACACCCCATAATGTAACAAAGCCAGCCCATTGGTTTGGGGGTGGGGAAGGAGGCTGATGAACAAAGAAGAGTGTTTTTAGTGAGAAACTAGATCTGGGTGCATTGTTTTAGATTCTCCTACTCATCATTCCTCACCAGACCTTTGACAGACACTTTCTGAGCACCTTCTCTGCATGTGCAAAATGCTCTGCCGTCTGCAGGGGCTGCTCTTTGCAATGAACAGCAAGCGTGCTGCCTCAGGCAGCCTCTAGGAGCTGCTCTTTCACTGTGTGTCTGTGTCTTTGCTGCCAGACACTGTTCCAGCATTCATCTGCCTCCTGTGTCACACAAGGAGGAAATGTTCTTGTAGTGGCTGCCTCCCAACGGCCACCTCTTCATGCTCAGGAAAGGACCTGATATTCGCACAAAGTGCTTTGCAGGTCACCTGCTCGAGTTGCACCCAACCCTCTGCTTTCTCCTTTTCCACCAAATTCCTCTGTTGAAGTAGTACTTGCAGTCAGTGTAGTAACAGCATCTCCTACTTTCCGAGACCTTGTTTTGTAACAGGAACCATGGAGGGCTGTATCAGAATTATTTAACGTAAGCATCCCAACATCCTATACGTTGCTTGATCTTCCCATTTTTCAGATGAGAAAACTGAGGGTCCAGAGGAGTTAATAAGCTTGGCCGAGGTCTGACTGACTCCCATGTGAAGAGTTACTCCTGGAACTGGGTCATAGCTCTACTTTCAATGCTTTGCCCTTTAGCAATTCCCCATGGTCCCCTGGGATTGGTCGGGGGCTTCCCCTGCACCCATAATGCTTTGTGCTGCCTCTACCATAGCACTCATTACCTGCATTGTGACATTTCCTGCTCACATTCCCATTAAATTGGGGGCTCTTCCAGGGATCATGCCTTACTCAGTTTACCTCATGGTCCCAGAGCAGCTTCTGGTAAGGACTGTTTAAACCCTGGCTGGCTTTCCTGTGATTTGCCATGATGAGAATCCTAAAAAGCAAGGGAAGACAGGGAGAGGCACCTCTGATCAATGCCAGAAGACACTGGGTTTCTGTTTTCTAGTCCTGAACTGGATGGTGCGGCAGCTGACACATGCCATCCACCTGAAGTCCCTTCTCCCTCCGTGAAAGAAGAAGTGAATTTTCCCATCAGCTGTGCGTCCGGAGACTGGCTGCCTGTGGGGAATGTTTGGAGGTGGATTCAGGGAGCTTCCCTTGCCGCAGTTCTGTTCTTGGGGTGCTCTCAGAGTCCTTGCCCCCGGAAGAGTCCCCTGATAGTGAGAGCGAATGGGAGGACGGAGAGGAGCTCACAGACCCAGGTGATGGCGCCCTCAGGTGGGTATCACTTTGGGAAGATGGGGCTGGACCGAGTTCTCCCATGAGGCTCACTGTTTCAGCCACTCTGGCTGCCTGATGGCCTGTGGGCAGCAACGTGCTCCCACCACCGCCCCTCTGGTCAGATGTCACCATGCAGGCGTTTTCACTGAGCACCTACCATGCATGGTCCATGTCCATGACAACCACCCCAAAGGAAAAGGTTATTATTGTTCACATTTTACAGAGGACACACTGGGGACATTCCCAGCATCTTACAGTGAGTAAGTCAGAGTCCCAGTGCCCCCCGGCTCCTACTCTGTGCAGGATGATTCAGTGCTACCCTGCCGCCTCGTGCTCGCTGGTGCGCTGCCTGTGAAGTACTGGCTCCTGCTTCCTCAGCTCCTGCCTGCCTCTGGGTTCGGTATTGAAATTTTCAGAAAGCAAGTCTTGGTCTCATGCAATGTTGTGCTGGGCTGCATATCTGGCGCTTCGGCCAGACAGGTCATGCTGTGCTGTCTATTCCTAAAACACCTAGATAGGAAGGTATTGCTATCAGGCCAGGCCTTGAGATATGGTCTCATGGCCCCTTCCCAGCATGCAGGCCTTCTTTCTCAGAAGGCCCAGAAGTCTCATTCCAAATTTGGGAGACAAAGGACTGGAAAAAGTATAAATAGAGTTTCCTCCATATGGGGGGCCCAGAATTTGAAAGACACATTTTTCTCTGGGCCTCCACAGAATTTAATAATAAAATGTAACTCTTGTAGTCGTCACTGCAGTTCAGCCTCTGCTTCGGCAGGGTGCTGTAACTGTAGTTGCTGGCCAGCTTAATAATAAAGGCTCCTAAATTTAAATTCTGAGTCGGTGGTCTATCTTGCTGTGTGAACTCATAACATTTGGAGGCCCCCAGCGAGATCCCCGGCAGGGGTGAGAGGGACCCCCTATTTAAGGCAGGAGACTCTCCCCCATTTATCGCCGGGCACGCAGCGAGATACCCCACATCCCTGTGGGGAACGACTACCAAGGAGGCTTCCAGTCTCCCTTCCTGGTCCCAGGGAGGTGGAGGAGACTCCACCCAAAACTTTCAATTCGGAAACTGAGCCACCTGGACTCTCGGGAGAGGTAAGGAAGACCGGTCGTTAAACTGGAATTGGGACGTCTCACGGAAGGACCTATACGGAGGGCTGGACACAGCAGTACTCCTGGTCCTGACCCGCGGCCACGACGGTGGCCGGGGTCCCTGGTTTGTGCGGCTTTAGGCTGCACTGTGTTTGTTGTCTGGTGTTTGTTGTCTGGTGTTTGTTGTCTTTGTTCTTTGTTGTCTTTGTCTTTGTCAAAATGGGTTAGGGTCAGTCGCCTTAGTCGACCCCTATCAATCAGGCCCACTCCAAGTGAGTGGAAGGGGAGCTTGATCACCTCCCGGGAAGTCATAGAGTTCCCTTAGGCAATTAGTCAGGAATTGGTTGGATTGCTTAAACTCTGAGTAAACATTTGGTAGAAGTCAAAAACTCGGACTTTCTGGTGTATGAATGTAAGTGTGAGAGTCTGTGTGAAGTGAAAGCTACTTTGTGCTGTCTGGCTGTACACATGAGAGTATTTGTTATCTCTTTCTGTTGTTTGTTTAAAGATAGGGCAAACCCGCTTTAGGGGGAAGAAAGTAGAGAACTTTTAATTGCTTTTCCCTGAGGTATGATTTTGCTGTGTTAGGTTAAAATTTTAGAAGTCTAGGGTTAATTTAAAGGTATAAGGTTGCAACCCAGAGAAGTTTAAACAAAGGCTTGTTAGGTTAAGATTAGTACATTTTCTCATGGCCTGTGTAGGGTGAGGGAGAGGGACTGCTGGCAATGTGGCCCTTCTTGTTGAGCCACCATGGCTCCGCACAGCAAGCTCCTTCTTGATCAAGAAAGCCACGAGAAGCTGGGACTGGGTCACCAGGCTGGGGTCCGATCGTGCTGTTGAGGTCACAGGAGGAGGAAGAACAATGTGAAGCTGGGAGTAGAGTGGGTTGACATCTTGACAGGCTGCTAAAACACCTTCCAGCTGTTAAAGTGCCTCCACATATGTAGTTCTAGTCTTAAAAGAATGCTGAGTGTTCAAGAAACTTCCACATGAGCACACTCTCAGGGTGCACTGAGACGTGCTGGGGCACTGGCTCCCGGATTTGGGCTGTAATTGAAACACACCCGTTCACGCTCATCCTCGGGGCCCAGCACACTCTCGGCACAAATGATGGCACTGGAGGCTTAGAGGACGACGGCAGGCAAGCTGATCACGTGGGTGGGTATTGGAAATTCAAACATGACAAGAGGGTTCGTTCTTCCCTGAAATAGAAAACAAGTGAACAGAGGGGATGACATGGAAGCTCTGAAGACCGCACATGCCATTTATGGGGAAGTCGGACAGCTGACAACGGTGGGAATGAAACATGGATTCACAGAGTGTGCAGCAAGCAGGGAGCGGCTGCCCTGTGGAGGGCAGTCTTGTGGAGAGAGCTCCTCAGGGCTGGGGCTACGGGAAGAGCCAGCACGGCTTTGAGGACTCGGGAGGCACCGTGAGTGCTGGGCGTGTGAAATGCCCAGGAGCTCTCTGTGCCCTGGAGGGAGGCTGTGGAGCACAGAGAGGTGAGAGCGGGGCTTCGAGGCGAGCGGCTCAGGCTCTGAACCTAGCTCCACCCTCACGAGCGGGTGACTTGCAGCAAAATGGCTCTTCAACCATCCAAGACTCAGCTACCGATTGCCAAATGGGGATAACAAATCCCACCGCATGCTCTCATTGCAAGAGTCAGGGGACAATCCGAGCCAGGCATTTGGCACACTGCCTGGCATGTAGTAAGGGCTTAAAAGGTGTTAGCTATTTTTATTATAAATCAAAAAAGAGGAAGAAACATCAGCGAGATGATGCAGCCTTATGAATATCCAATCCTGTTGGATTTTCCCCATGTAGACAAAGGAACTGGCAGTCAGACTTATGCCCTAACATGAGGTGTGGAGTGGGGTGGGGAGAAGTCCTGGTTTATGGAAAGACTGTCAGGGTCTGGGATGGACTGAATAGCCCTCAGCTGTGGACAATGGCTTAGGATGTAATTAGGCTGAGTCTTGTCACCGTCACTCATCCTTTCCTGCAGCTGGAAGGTGGGCGTGCAGGTGGGACTGCTCAAGGCCCGCGGGCTTAGCCTGGGCTCCACGGAGCAGCCCACCGATGCGCTTCAAGGTGTCCATTGACGTCTGCACCTGGAATGTTGATTGTGTAGTTCTTTGGGAAAAAGCGGCTCTTCATATTCTTTAAATTTTCTCAGAGATCTATGACCCAAAAGGCTGAGGACCTACCTCTGTTGTAAATATTTCCACTGTCATCCCAGTGCGGGGAGAAGTCCTGGAGGGCACAGAGGGCTGTGCTTACGGACGGAGCAGTGCATCCTTTGAACCCATATAACGAATTGTTTTCCTTGGTCCTCTCAGACAGGAATAGTGCACAGGGAGTTTCTATCAATGATTTAATTTAACCCTCACATCAATTTTGAATGATATCCTCATTCCTCTTTTATAAATGGGATTTAAAATGTTTATTTAATTATCCCAAGATTGTGCAGCTAGGAGAGGCAGATCCACACTGCATCTCTCTGACTCTACTTTTGGCACATTCTTGCACTTCCCTTGAATGTGTCTTTCGGTGTGAACTTAAGATAACATAGATGCCTTTCCATCACGTGTCACGGGTCCTGCTTTTCCCTTACAGAACATTTCTCTCTAATGAGGCTAAAACAGGCCCTGCTATCCAGTGGGATAGGAGTCAATGCAAATGTTCTGTTTAGAAAAGGCTGCTGGCCCAATGGCAGAGGCCACCCAGGAAGAGCGAGGCATTGTTCAGGCGAGCACAGCCTCCCGAGGGAGAGCCTGAAGTTCCTGTGTGGATGTCTTTTTGACTGTGGCCACATGGAAGAGCCCTCAGATGCCCTTGGTCCAGGGAATGTGCCCACAAGCTCCGCCACCAGGAAAAAGAAGGCGCCTGAGAAGATGACCTGTGATGCAGGGTCTGGCCCAGTTTTTAAGAACTAAGGTTGAAAAGATCATGCCTGTCACTTCCGAGGCTCGTTTGGGTAGTGTCTGTGACCTCTCTTCAGTTCTGGGATGTATGTCATGTGTGTGTGTGTGTGTGTGTGTGTGTGTGTGTACACTTGCACTCATGTCTGGGGGTGGGGACTTCCATCTGTGAAGGATGTTGAGAACCAACTTCCTACATTGAGATAAGCTTGCCCAACCTTGGGACAAGGTGAGGCACTGGTGCCCACTTTCTGGGGCAGATGCAGTGTTCTGGTTTGCACTATCTAGTTCCCCATTAATGGAAGCAGTTTTTGTGGTTTTCAACATGTCCCTAGTTACCGCAAAGGAATTGGCTCAGGGTGTTGGCTCAAAGGCCATGAGAGTCATGTGTTTTGACATCTTTCTGTGTTCTATGCAACTTCCTATGGGTATAAATTCTTTTGAAAGTGTTTTCTTTTGGGATTCAACAACTTGATTCTCAACCTGATTCTAAAGATTATATTAAGGAATTGTAAGATGGGAACATATAACGCAAAAGGAAGAATGGAGAGGTGGATCCAGCATTACCAGGTGTTGGACATACAGCCATGACAAAATCTAAACCAGGTGGGAATAGCAGACGCTCAAAAGAAATAGATCTGGTGGACCCCAGAGTGAGCAGGGGGCACACTTAGCTCTACATGATAGAGACACACGGCAGTCAGCGTCTCTGTGGGGAGGGAGGGCACCTCACAGAGAACAAGGATGGCTGACCCATGATTAGATTCAAAGGTATTTCATCTACTAAAAGTCCGTACAGATAGACTAAATGCACAGGAACACGTCAGTAAAAAGCTGGCAGAAAACAGACTTTCATCATATCAGATCTACAGAGTCATGTGTTTTGATATCTTTTTATTCTGGCTTACAGTAATATATAAATTTAATTCTGGCTTACAGTATACAGTAATATATAAAAAGCATAACAAAAAAGAACTACAAAGTTGAAGATATTAAAATAATGACAAAATTAATGAAAAAATAGCAATGGATTGGAAAATAATTTACATAATTGTGAATAAAGATTGATTTCTATAATGTTTGTAAAGCCCACTATCTATAATAATAAAAGTATAATATGCTAATTAGACTAGACAGCTGAACAACCATCCGGACGTCATTCCGGACATCCTTCTGGATGAAGCTGCGGTGGCGGGGGCCAAGGCAGAGGCAGTTAGGGGTGATAAGGCAGGCAGGCAGAGTGGTTAGGGGTGATGAGGCAAGCAGGTGAGTGGTTAGGGGTGATCAGGCAGCCAGTCAGAGTAGTTAGGGGCGATCAGGCAGACAGGCAGAGTAGTTAGGGGTGATAAGGCAGGTGAGTGGTTAGGGGCAACCAGGCAGGCAGTCAGAGTAGTTAGGGGCGATCAGGCAGACAGGCAGAGTAGTTAGGGGTGATAAGGCAGGCAGAGTGGTTAGGGGCAATCAGGCAAGCAGGCGAGCACTTAGGGGTGATTAGGCAGGCAGGCAGAGGCAGTTAGGGGTGATCAGGCAGGCAGGCAGAGTAGTTAGGGATGACAAGGCAGGCAGAGTGGTTAGGGGCAATCAGGCAAGCAGGTGAGCAGTTAAGGGTGATTAGGCAGGCAGGCAGAGTAGTTAGGGGTGATAAGGCAGGCAAGTGGTTAAGGGTGATCAGGCAGGCAGACAAGTGGTTAGGGGCGATAAGTCAGGCAGGCAGAGTGGTTAGAGGCAATCAATTAGGCAGGCAGGCAAGCAGTTAGGGACCAGCAGTCCCGGATTGCGAGAGGGATATCCAAATGCTGGTATAGGGATGGCTACATGCGGGATCGGGCCTAAACTGGCAGTCGGACATCCCCCGAGGGGTACTGGATTGCAAGAGGATACAGGCCGGGCTGAGGGAATCCCCACCCCCATGCACAAATTTTGTGCACTGAGCCTCTAGTCTATAATAACAAAAGCATAATTTGCAAATCGACCGAATGACCAAACAGCAGAACAACCATCTGGACTACCTTCTGGATGACTGACCATGTTATGACATGCACTGGTGCCAGGCCTGCCAAGGTGGGTGCGATAAAATTGGTTGTGGGGGGCATGCCATCACCCCACAATCACCACGCAGGCCTCCCTCTGCGGGGCAATTGATGGGGGCCTCTGTGATCAATCACCCCAAAGATGGAGGCCCAGGCTGCCCTCTGCAAGGCAGTTGATCACTGAGTCCTGGCCGGGTGGGAAGGGCCTCCTTCTGCTGGGCAATCAATTGCCCCAAAGAGGGAGGCCCAGGCCACCTGGCTGGCAGCTACAGAGGAAGGCCACCTGGCTAGTGATGCTGTGGTGGGTGGGCAGGGCCTCCCTCTACAGGGCAATCAATCTGGGGGTCCCGCAATCAATCACCGCACAGAGGGAGGCCCAGGCCACCAGCTAGTGATGCTGTGGCAGGTGTGCAGGCTGGCCAGTGATTGCCCCACAGAAGGAGGCCCAGGCCGGCCAAGTGATCGTACCCCACGCCTGTCACCCACAGAGGTAGGTGACTGGCTGGTGGGGGAGGGAGGGTAGCGCCGCACAAAGCAGTGCCAACGGTGGGGGCAGGGCCAGCTGCCGGGAGCCAGGGGAAGGAAAGCCCTGATAGGCCCTGATTGCTGGGCAGGCCTCAGGACCCTACCTGAGGGGCCCCAGATTGCGAGAGGGCACAGTTCGGGCTGAGGGACACACCCATTCATGAATTTTGTGCACTGGGCCTCTACTAATTTATAATAGACTAGAGGCCCAGTGCACGAATTTGGGCATGGGTGGCGTCCGGCCAGGCCTGTCAGGAGGAGGAGATGGCAAGAGGCTGGCCAGTCGGCCTGCCCTGATCGGGGCCTGGTCAGGGCTGGGCTGATCAGAGGTGGAGCTGGCTGGGGGGAGGGGCCACGGGCCAATCAGGTTGGTGGTGGCTGATTGGGGGTGGGGCCAGCTGTGGGGAGTGGCTGGAGTCAGTGGGCCAGCCAGCCTGGCCCTGAATGGGATGAGGGGGGCCGATTGGGGGCCAGCTGCCTGGGGGAGGGGCCATGGACTTATCAGGGTGGTGGGGACCCATAGGGGGTGGAGCCGGCTGGGTGGAGGGGCTGCAGGCAGTTGGCCATCCAGCTCTGTCTCTGTTTGGGGTGGAGGGGCCAATCTGGGGTGGGGCTGGTCAGGGGGAGGGGCTGAAGGCCCATCAGGTTGGTGAGGGACCATCATGGGTGGGGCTGGCCTGGGGGAGGGGCTGTGGGCCAATTGGGGTGGGGTGGGCCAATCAAGGGTGGGGCGGGCCCGAGGAGTGGGGAAGGTTCGTGGGGGGTGTTGGCTGGCCAGCCCCATCCCTGATTGGGCTGGGTCGTTGGCTGCAGTGCGCATCATAGTGACCAGTCATTCTGGTCGTTATGGCATTTTGGTTGCTGGATTTTTATATATCCTATCTAATAAAAGAGAAACATGGTGATTAGCCGTAACTTCGCTACACTTCCCATTGGCTAATGGAGGCCGGCAGCCAGGCAGCTGACATGAACATGGAGGCTTGCTTGCTCCAGTGATGGAGGAAACCAGGTTCCCCGCCTGCCGCTGCGGGCCTCTCAGCTGCCCTCTAAGAAACATTGTTACAAATATAGAAGCTAAACAAAACCCCAGAAACCTGCTTTCAGTCAGCCGGGATCTCAGAGCTGGAGTCACAACAAAGTTTCAAATACAGAAGGTAAACAAAGTCCAGAAATCTGCTTTCAGCAGCCGAGGTCTCAGAGCTGGAGCCGAGCCTCAGAGCTAAAGACGGCTCTCAGCAGCAGTGACAGCCATAGAAGGTAAATAAAATCCCAGAAAAAAAAAAGAAAAAAGAAATAAAAGAGAGGTTGGGAGCTTCAGTCACCTGCCAGCCTGAAAACGGCCCTCAGTCCCTCACCCAGACTGGCCAGGCACCCCAGTGGGGACCCCCACCCTGAAGGGGGTGTGACTAGCTGCACACAGCCATCATCCCCTCATCCAGGGTGGCCAGGCACCCAAGCGGGACCCCCACCCTGATCCGGGACCCTTCAGGGCAAACCAGCCGGCCCTCACACATGCACCAGGCCTCTATCCTATATAGTAAAAGGGTAATATGCCTCCCAGCACCGGGATCAGTGGAGCCGCGAGGCCTCCCAGCCTGGGATCAGCTACGAGGCCTCCTGGCACAG